CTGTATCTGAGTAGGGAAGTGGTATTGAATTGAAAAGGATTGTGGGACAGGATCTGCGTCGCAGAGTGAAAGTAATATGTTTACATTTTGCTTCATTGATTTTAATGCGCCAGTCGTTGCACCACTGCTCAATCAAGGAGAGGTGAGATTGTAGGTTTTGAGATGCTATTTGAGGATCTGAGTGGGAGGATAGAATGGCAGTATCATCGGCAAATGTAGCTAGGAAGGTATCGGGATTTGGAGGGATATCGGCAGTGAAAAGGATGTAGAGAACTGGACCCAAAACACTGCCTTGTGGAACACCAGCCTCAACTGGATAGTAAGTGGAGAATTCGGTGCCGCAACGGACTTGGAAGGAACGATTTGAGAGATAGGATTTGAGGACTAGGTATAAGGATTGGGGTAAATGGGTTTTGAGCTTGAAAAGCAAGCCATCGTGCCACACCCGGTCGAAAGCTTGCGCTACGTCCAGAAAGGCACCAGTGCAATATTGCTTGTTTTCAAGTGCAGAGGATATATGGTCCACAACACGAAGGCCTTGTTGGACAGTGGAATGTCTTGAGCGGAATCCAAATTGATGAGAAGGGATGTTGTGGGATTCGAGTATGGGTAGGATGCGTTTGAGGAGGATTTTTTCAAAGATTTTTGAGAGGATAGGGAGTAAACTTATCGGTCTGTAGGATGATGTGTTATTAACGGGTTTGCCTGGTTTTGGAAACAGCACGATTATGGAGTGTTTCCACATCAAGGGAAAGTTGGTAGTACGAAGGATGCAATTATATAGATAGGTCAGGAATATAATTGATTTTTTGGGAAGTTGTCTAAGGATTTGTGAAGTGAGGAGATCATATCCAGGGGATTTTCGGGGTTTTAATTTGTTTATGAGGAATTTGACCTCAGAGGGGTTAACAGGTTTTGGAGGTAGAGAGAGAGGAATTGGTGAAGAGAGGAATTCTTTAACTTCAGCAGTGTGGGTGGGATGGAGTTCGGGATGGGGAGTGAATGTGTAGGATAGATGTTTAGCAAACTCTTCAGCTCTATTCGCATCTGACGAAGCCCAGGAACCATCATCACGGCGGAGGGGGTGGGAAATGGATTGGACTTTAAGGATTTTTTTAGTTACAGTCCAGAGGGAGTTATCACTAGATGTTAATGAGGAAAGGTAGGAATTGTAGGATTGGGTTCTAAAGATATCCAGTTTCTTTTTTACCTGTTTGGAATAATAGTTATACGATTTCCGGTCATCAGGATGCCTGGTTCTTTGCCAGAGGGCCCTAGAGCATCGTTTGCTATGGATAAGGTCCAATAGGTCTTGGGGTAGAGGATTTATACTGAGGTGTTTTTTGGGACGATCAGGTGAGGATGCAGTCCAAACTGCTTGCTGGATCAGCTTAGTAAAGGAGTCCACTGCATCGTCAAGGTCTTCAGGTGTTTTTAAGGAAACTCTGAGGTCTATATTATCATCCAATATTTGACGGAAAAGGTTCCAGTTAACTGGTCCCCTGATAAATGAAGGAGAGGATGATTTAGGAATGGGTGATGTGGAAGCGGTTAGGACTATAGGACTGTGGTCTGAGGAAAGATCATCAAGCCTTGAAATGGAACAGTGTAATGATCCTAGACCTTTGTGTAGGAAAAAGTCTAGAAGGTCGGGATTGCGGTTGGGATCTGTTGGCCAGTATGTGGGAGTATTAGGTGAAAGGATGTTGCTGCGATGGGAATTAAGTGCAGATAGCAGTGTTCGCCCTCGGGAATTTGTGGATCTGGCTCCCCATTGTTGGTGTTTTGCATTTAAATCTGCACCTAGGATGAAATGGTGTCCTAAGGAATTCAGGAAGGAAATTATTTGGGATTCGGAAATGGGTATTTTAGGCGGGGAATATGCCGCAACTAATGTTATTGGGTAAAGGGAAGTTTGGATTATTACAGCAGTGGATTGTAGGAAATTATGGGTTGGTAAGGGAAATAAATGATGGGAGAGAGATCGGTGGATAATTATAGCAGTGCCAGCATGTGCTGTTCCATCAGGATGATCGGTTCTATAAATATTGTAGCCAGGAACGTTGATTTGTCGTTTGTTGGTTAGTCGGGTTTCAGTTATTAGTGCTATGTCGATGTTTTTGTCATGTAATAAGATTGTCAGTTCGTTGATGTGATTTCGAATACCATTCGCATTCCATAGGAGAATGGAAAGGGATTTGGTTGAGGACATTTATGGATTTCTCGGCGGTGGAATGAGGTTGGATATAACATTGGTAAGTAATGAAATAAGAGGGGTGATAAGGGATCTAAATTCAGAGAGGAAAGAAGTTAATAGGCTTGTGAGGTCAGTGGAATTGGAAGGAGGAGGAATGTATGTCTGGGTATTGAACCTAGGTTCAGGGATGGAGGGATGTGGGTCTTGAGGTTGATTTGTGAATTCTCGAGGTTGAGGTTCTTGTGGCAGGGCCTGAGATTGAGTGTTTATAGTGTCTCCTTTGAACATCTGAGCATAGGTCACTCTTCCGTTCACTGTTCTAGAGGGTTGTCTTGGTGGCCTGGATGTCCCTTCTTCTCTAGGAGTTGCGTACATTCTTGTTTTTAATTCTTTGTATGTTTGACAACCCTTGTAGTTGGCAGGGTGCCCTTGGTGGCATAAAGCGCATACTGCAGGTGAAGTTCTAGACTTCCTACATTCTTCTGTTTTGTGTTGCTCACCACACCTCACACATCTAGGAATGTGATGACAATATCTTTTCGTATGGCCATAAGCCTGACAGTTATGGCATTGAACGATATCGCGCTTGGTGTAAGGCTTTTCCACAACAACGCTGGTGTAATAAAGGCGTGTGACCTTGTAGATGTCTTCGACCTGGGGCGTTCGGTCAAGGTCAACGAAGAATAGTGGGAGCGGTATTTTACTTTTTATTCCAGGCTGTTCTCTATCCTCCTTGAATATGTTCACTATCTGGCGAACATGGAATCCCATACCCACGAGCTCTTCTTTTATAGCATCAGTTGGCGTAGATGGGTGCAGTCTTCTGATAACGACCCTGAGCGCCCTCTCTTGACGCAGTTGATACGTGTGGTAATCCGCCTTGGTATCAGATAAATATTTTATAATTTTTCTGTAAGTTTCTGGAGTGTCGGGCATTAATTTAGTGTCATTGGTGCGGCTTTGGCATAAATATTTTCCTGAGCCCACTAGGTTATTCAATTGGTGACACATTAACTGAAAGTTTTTAATATTCCTAAGGAATATTGGTGGGGGTTTGGGTTCCCTGGGGGTGGGTGCTGCTTCCATTTCTTCGTTTTGTGTATTAGATAGCACTTGAAATGGGTTCTGAGTAAAAAACGGCGATTCTTCACCAGTCTGAGTTGTCTCATGATTGTTTTGTTGTTGTGAGGTACCAGGTTGGGGATCCACTTCTTCAACAGAGCTCCCTGGTGTGGCTGGTGGAGTATTTCTTTTCGAACGCCTTGTTCTTTTTTTAATAGGAGAACTCATTGTAGTATCGAGGCTCCTGGATCTAGTATTTTTACCCTTGCTCGACATTAGCATATGATAATATCGCATTTCATATTATAAGTGATAGTAAAAATTGTAAAATGAGAAGTGATAACAAAATTTTTTTTTTTTTAAACACGGAAATATATACGCGTGCTTAGAGAGGACTGATCGGCACAGAACCTCCTTGGACGGAGAGCCAGAGCCCACTGGTGGGATTAGCGATGTTATGGCCGGCCGCTATCAGTAACTAACCTGAGGTCTATTTACACTGTTCACTATTGAGCTGTAAATAAGTGATTACTCACCTTATTCTTTTGTTCAGTAACAAACTTAATTGTTAATATAACAGGTAACACTGTTGTTTCACATTAAAGTTGAACACTGCCACTATTAATGAAGAATTTTGTAAGAGATGACCTGACGTATGTTTAACTTAGGCTAACGCATGCGCAGAACTCGGTACATTCTAGATAACTATTTCTAAGCTATCACAGATAGCTTGACATGGCTATCTAGGACTTTGTGCTTTTATGATTTGAGTGGTGAGAAACTAAAAGATAACACATGATTCACCAATTGGGATATTTGCCAAAATAAAAGTTAAATTAATATCATTATTATTATTATTATTTGTTACGGATTAAGTCCATTCCGTAACTCTCGTACAAATACGAGGATCCTCGTACGAACGACAACACTGCAAGTGTGGTTGGGGTGTTACACATCGTTATATTTTTGTTTATATTGTTCACTCATTAAGGGTTATTATTAAAATATTTGAGTTATTAAAATTTAATTTTGTAATTATACAATCATATGTTAAGTTTAGTCCTTATCTGCCTGGAAATTACATACTGTGTCTAGATTTTTGGAAATGTAAATTGTTTCTAAAACTTTTCGTTTGAAGCTTTTCTTTCACTTATTAGTATTTTAGTGTAATTAAAGTCAAAATTGTGTTTCTGTTGGGTGCTGTGTATTGATCCAGTGCAGCTGTTATATTTTTTTATTTTAGAATTACAATTGCTTTTATGTTGGTTGATTTTATTTTTTAAGTTCTGTTTTGTTTGTCCTATGTAACATGTGATATATTTATTTCTCCTATTACTATTTTTACAGTCCTTACAATCTATTTTTGTATATGATATCAGTTTTTTCTTTATTACTGGTGTAAATGTTTAGAATTTTGTTTTTTAGATTTTATACTGAACTTTAAATCTGTTGTCATATTTATTCATATTTTATACATTGAATTTACTCAAAAATTTTGAAATTGGATTTAGTCATTCTGTCAAACGAAAGGCTCATATGTAGATTGCATCAGAGAAAAGCATAGCTATCAAATATGAGAGTTCTCGGTAGAATATACTGGTAAAGTTATATTTTAAATCTTCTCTTTGCCAAATCGAATGCTCTGGGAGCCTAAAAGCAAAAGATGATGGACTGCATGCAGATTGCATAACATCATTTAGAAGGTTCCCAGGCGCGGTACGGATATTTTGTTCAGTTGCAACTCGACTCCGGCATGATGCAGGCATGCAGAACTTTAGCTCTCTTGGTTTTTCCCTTGCTATCCGGGTTCGAGTTGTGCTCGGCAAGCAAAATTTTGGTTATATCCATGGTAGCCTCTCCCAGTCACAGCATTTGGTGTAATAAACTTGCGGAACTGTTAGTGAACAGAGGGCATACGGTATTTATATGATAAATTATATAATGATTATTATAAAATAGCAAATTTGCGGTAAAGGATAATTTAAAATACTATATCCAGGAAAGTAGCTCTATTATAAAAGTAATTGTAATAAAAAACATCTGCCAAGGAAGGTAATTATAGCTTCGTCGCAGTTTTCATTGTCTAAAAAATATCTTTATTATAAGGTCTAAAATTTTTCCTATGAGAATAAAATCTCTGAAAGAAGCCGCTTTCGGAAATTTAGTAATGCATCAACACAAACCGGTCTGATATCAACGAGTTTCATTCATCAGGGAATACTAAAACGCGAAAGAGTTCTTTATTTGCAGATTGTTTACCTCATGATTCGTGATAAAAAAAAATAAACTTCCAGTGCATACTGAACAGGAATATCACTAATTTTAGGGCAAAAGATCGTATGTAAAAATTGAATGTTTTAAAGAAGAGCATACAAACTAATTGTTTTTTTTTATGATTTATTGGTATAATTTTATTTATCTCTGCTATTTTCTATCGTAGCAGACTGCTTGTACCAGTTGCAGGCTATAAAATGTTATTTTAACACAAATAGAAAAAAAGTTGAAAATTTGTACATACTATATTTTGCACTAACAGCAGTAATATATACTTAATAGGTATGTTTTCACTCGTAAAATAGACGTAACAAAGCATCCATAGGAAAAATTCAACTTCTTATTTGTTCGGAGTTAACGAGACCAATACTTTTCTTCAGCCAGAACAAAACTAATTAAGCTGAAATATAAAAGTATGCTTTAAATTCACACAACTTTGACATTTAAAATGGTAATCGAATAAACTTAGAATAAAAATTAATTTAAATTTACGGAAAATTCCACGAAATCTAAGTAACGGCAGTAAGTGTCATGCCAGTAACGTTTGGAATCGACTAAACAAGATAGTATAACTTAACTTTTTAAATAAAACCTAAAATTTTATAACCCCATAATAATATTGTCTTAATCTAACTCTCACTCTGTATGATCACTGTCTTCCGCATTTCACAGTCATTGCATTGTTAACAGTTATTTATATTAATTTTTTAAACCGTATTCAAACTATAGGGGTGTCAAATAATACGTTTATTTTCCCGAATGCGGAAGTCTTTTTTTGTGACTAGTGGATAGAAATTGACAAAATTGATATTTACTGGATTACCTGTTAACTAATTCCTAACTTCACTCCGAATTCGGGTCAAATCGAACAAACGGTTTTAGAGATATGGACGTATCAAGGAAAACGCGTTTGCGCATGTATAAGAGAAAATAGATGATGGAATACAATAAAATCAATATAGAATCATTATTTTACCAAAACCCAACTTTTCTTTTAACTTTGAGCCAAATAGAATGTGATTTAAAGTAAAAAATTTTAATTCACAATTCAAAAAGTTCCATTTCTTCCCTTCATATAAAGGAAACAACGGATGATCATGCCCTATATAAAATTAAATCAGACAAAAATTTCAATAGAATTGATCCTGTTCATGTTTTCGGTATCTTGTGTAGCTTCCGAGATACCCGTTCTCCTAATTCAGTAATTTTGAAAATAACAATATTTGCTTCGTGTTTTTATTGTTATTACCAAATTCTTTATCTGTTAATTCTACGAAAAAGTCAGAGACCGTTGTTGAATACTAAATTTTCCTTCAAAAATATTTATTACTCTACTATTTCATCTTTAAGCCTTCAAAACTTCGCACTGGTTGCATAAATACTCTTAATATTACATTTTTCTCCTAGGTTACCATTCTGGACACTCATCCTTCAAGGAAGAAGCTGGCGAACTTGACGACTTACATCTTTGAAGGGGCTTACACATACCGTGAACAATTAGATTACATGGATTCAATGTGGAATTCTCCTAAATATGCCATAGATTTCCTTTTTGAAGCTAACCTATTAAGCTGCAGATACATGTTACAATCTCCAGCTTTTAAACGTTTTCTATCCGAACACTCGAATGATAAGAAACCGTTCGATTTGATTATCCATGACATAACCAACTGCGAAAGCTTCTTGGGACTCGTACACTTCCTAGGGAACCCGAAGCTTGTTTTAGTGACGCCCTTTGGTGAATGCCAGGCCCTCTACGTGAAGGGCAGTCAAGGGCATATGGTGCACTCTCCATTTCAGCTAACCCATTTCAGTCATCCGATGAGTTTCGACGAGAAACTCAAGAACCTATTCTACACCCTCTATAATTATTATGTCTATCATAAATATGTGAATACTCTAGACGGTTATTCCAAAGAGATATTTGGACAATCGATTCCTCATGTCCTGGAGATTGGTAAGTCAGCAGCCGTGGCACTCGTCAATGCACATCCTATTCTTGATGGTGCCAAATACTACAGTCCTGCAATCGTCCATATTCCAGGATTCCACATCGATGAACCAAAGAAACTAGACGAGGTAAGGAGCCATTTTTCTGAAATTTTGAATTAATATTCTGAATTATTTACATTGTACGAAGTTGGCTGAGTATTTTAACCGAGCAAATTAAATCGTGATTACGTTCCTAAAACATTTCTTATCCATTGCCGCAATTCTCATATCTTATGTCCTATAATTATTCTTTTAAGACAATCTACGACAATGCACGAAGTTGGCTGAGAATTTTAATCGAGCAGATTAATTCATGAATTAAGTTCCACTTCTTCATTAGGTATTCATGAGTTTTACTTTTACCAAAGAAATAATGTCTAATAATATAATACAGGTGTGATTTCAATTAATTTTAATCGATTTGTTTAGCCTTGGTATTTGAAAGCAAATTTCATTTGGTACCACAGTACTATGCCTCGAAGCCTGGCAACTCGGGCACAAGTCACTTGTTGCGTTCTACATAACAATATAATTTAAATATTTGTCTTATAAAATACAATAAAAATATAAAGTTACATACAACTGCTTAAAAAAAACATTTTTAATTGGTTTGTATATATATATTTTTTAGAGGAGAGGGGCTCTCATGCCAGAAGGCACCAATTATTTTAGGACGTAACTGTCAAAGTGACGAGATAACAATATAATCTTCTATCCAGCAATCTCTGATTTTTTATAACGTATTAAAACGTTTGTCGAGAAAGCCTACGACACGCTGTGGAGATGGCGAGTATTAGACATACTAAGAAGATGGCACATCAAAGGAAAATTATGGAAGTACATAAAGAATTTCCTAAAAAATAGAACATTTAGTGTCAAAGTCGGAAATTCAGAATCCTCTATCTACAACATGGAGAATGGCACCCCTCAAGGATCCCCACTCAGCGTGACCCTCTTTCAGATCGCAGTAAATGACATAGCGGATGTAGTTGTCAAGCCTGCAAAAACCATTTTGTACGCAGATGACATAATGCTGCTCATTCGAAGTAAATCATTAGAATTCTTAAAGTGGAAGACGCAAGAAGCACTAGAAAACATAGAAAAATGGGCAACAGAGAGTGGGTTTAAACTATCTGCTAGCAAAACTAGAGCCATGCACTTTTGCAGATTAAGAGGGTGCACAATAAATCCAAAAATACGGATGGGTGGTGCTGAAATTCCATTCGTTAACAGCCTAAAATATTTGGGAATGGAGTTAGATCGCCCGCTTAGATGGACAATTCATATAAAACTGCTTAAAGAAGAGTGCCTCAAAAGAGTTGCCCTACTAAAATGCCTTTCTCATACGACTTGGGGAGCAGATAGAAAAAGCCTATTGAAAGTATACTATGCAAGTATTAGAAGCAAATTGGACTACGGCTCAAGCGTTTACGGCTCTGCTTCAAGCAAAACTTTAAGAATGTTGGACGTGGTACACAACTCTGCATTAAGAATTTGTACAGGGGCATTGCCAACCTCCCCTGTGGAAAGTCTATATGCAGAAGCTGGTGAACCTCCTCTAACCTTCAGAAGATTTTTCATGACAACGAAGTATGGTCTCAAAATCAAGACTAACCCAAGACACATACTAAATAAGATATTATTCTGCAATGAGGAATCAGGTAACATCAGGGAGAAAAACTTTGTAGAAACGCTTCTTGAGCATTTTTCGGATCTTAACATTGAAAATGTTCTGGATGTGCCGGATATAATAATTCCCAGATGGACCAATGTCAAACCAATTATAGATACCTCAATTTCCAGACATAAAAAGGATACGGCACTTCCAGTTGAAGTTCAAAAATTATTTTTAGAAACTTTGGAAAAATATAAGGAGTGTCACATCTTGTATACGGATGCCTCAAAAGTTGATAAGGAAGTAGGGTGTTCCGTTATGAATTTTAATACTCAAAAACTATTCAAAATTCCGGAGGCTTGCTCAGTGTTTACTGGTGAAATGCTAGCAATTAGAGAAGCTCTTAAACACATAGAGACAAGTGAAACTACCAATTGGGCAGTGGTGACAGACTCTATGAGTTCATTACTAGCTATTGAACATAACAGGCCCAAAACCTCTCTCGCAAAAGATGTAAGAAACGTTTGGTGGCTACTAAGGGAGAAGGGCAAAGAAGTAGTGTTCATTTGGGTCCCTTCGCATTGCGGGATCATCGGTAATGAACAAGCAGATCAAGCAGCCAACATAGCAAGAAAGCCAAATACAACATCCGTTGAATCAATTAATGAAATCCCTCTGGAGGATTACGTTATAAAAATTAAGGAGAATGTATGGAACATGTGGCAAAACAAGTGGGAACAAGGAGAATCGAAATTAAAAGAAATTAAACCCCACTGTTTAAAATGGGAAACCTCGCACCGACCATCTCGAAAAGAGGAGACAGCCCTTTGCAGACTGCGAATTGGACATTGTGAGTTCTCGCACTCCTACCTACTAAGAGGACTTGATCCTCCGACCTGCGAGAACTGCAATGTCCAAAGGACAGTAAAACACATTATTCAAGAATGCCCTACATTTGATCATATAAGGAGAAAGTTAGACATGGCACAGAGTCTGAAAGAAAATCTACAAGACCATGAAAATGCCGTTAAAAAAACTTTAAAGTTCTTAAAAATGATAAAATTCTACAACAGAGTTTAATTCAAAGGTGTTGCCAATGACCCTACAGGGTAGAGGCAACAAAAAAAAAATAAAACGTTGAGAGCCATTGGATCAGTGAAAAACATAAAACGCAGTATCATAATAATAAAAACATACCTTTATCCCCTAGAATGGAAGTGGTGTATATTCCATTCCGCATTTTGGGCCATTTCTATAAATATATTTTTACATCATATTTAAAAACAATAACCTGATAATAGAAAACCCTTATGACTTTGAAAAGCATTTATCATCATCTTACAGTGATATAGTTCTGGCAGGTCCTCCTTAACAATCCTCTTCTACTCACACTTCTTAATCCTCCAAGCCTTAAGATTGTCTCCTATATGCTGCAGCCAACAAAGTCTAGACCTACCTTTTTTTTCTCCACCCGGGAAAGAGATGAGGAAAGGCCTTTATCATTTTTGAATTTTTTATGAATTTCCTGGCAATGAATTTTTCTTTTTCACGTGTTCAACAGGTTTTTATTACGGATTGTCAAAGTTTAGGGTTCGCTTCGATATATAACAACTGGTTTGAGGACTATCCTGCAGATATTTATTTTGAGGGCTCTAGGATATGGTCTAATTTTGAAATATTTTCATTGAGAGAGCTCTAGCCCCTTGTAACAGCTGTCACCTTAAATCATTCATTAACATCTTCAGTGATAATAATGCCCAGCTATTTAACTTATATTTTTGGATAACCTGCTATTTCACTATGCCTGGCATACATGGGAGAGGCAGGAGGGTTTGTTCTATAGCGACAAGTAGACTTATTCTAATCAGAGATAGGAGGTCGAGATTCGTTCCGTGGGTCTGATTCGAAATAGATTTCAGCCTCCCCTCCCCCAGTGGGAAAAATGACTGTTTTAGAAGAACCAAAGTTAATCTCACAATTGTTATCCATTCAATGCTCATTGTTTACTAGGATAGTAGAATAGTTCAAAAATATTATTACAAGTTTTGTAAAGTAATCTATAAACACTTTGTAGATCTTTATATTTATGGTTTAACCAAGTTTAAGGCACTTTTTTGACGATTCTTTCATCACTTTTTGACGATTAAGTGGCTCTTATGTTCTTATTTGAAAATATGAAATGAAATGAAAATATATTTTATTATTCTGGGACTGTTGCCCCTTTAGAACAAATTATAAGTGCTAAATTCATGTGTAAGTGGTCATAAATACAGTTGATGTTTACAATATGGTTATTTAAAAGTAAAAATACAGACGGAAAGAGAGAAAAATACATAAAAAGCGTAAATATACATACATAATAATCGTGCATAAAGCGCACATAATGCAAACAGAGAAAACTATAATAACAGAAATATTTTCTGAGGGTACTTAGATAGCTATTTTAGGTATATTTCGTGATCAGGCGGATTAAGAAAGAAGTGGGTGTTTATAGAGGAGGGATTTGAAAGAAGAAACTGATTGTGCGTGTCGAATGTCAGCATGGATGGAATTCCAGAGTGAGGCGGCTTGTATTGAAAATGATTTGTCATACGCAGCAGTTCGGTGAGGAGGAGGATAGAGGTAGGAAGTGCGAGATCTAGTAGGACGGGATTGGATGGAGTATTTAAATTGTAAACTAAGGAAAATATAGGAGGGTCGATGAGTTCTAATGATCAGAAAGGTAACTAGGAAGTACTGACGGCGATAGGATGGATAGAGGAACTTCTACTCGGTGTAATACTGGGTATTTATAGATTTATACAAATTTACTAATGTGGATGCTTACTATCATGGTACTTACGATTACTAAATACAAGAATATCGTATAGAAAAAAATTCAAATTATTGTCTTCCAATGGCAAAGATTAATTTCAGAAGTATAAAAGTAGCGAAGAGTAGCGCAATGACCATTGCATGGTGATATTCATGAATGTCAGGTGAATGTACTCATATTATTCAAAGGTTCCTATAACTGCTGTATGGATAAATTTTGGTATATTATTTATTTACTTGCACGATTTGATTTTCAGATATTTTCCTATTTATTAATATTATTGTTATATTTTATGAATATAATTATTTATTTTATGAATATTAATATCACAAGTCATAACACTGTTGAATAGTAATTTATTAATATAAATTTGTAGTTTATGCTTGAGCTCAATGGAAAAATTTAAACAGTATTTTTTCCAAAAATGTATGTTTTTCTATTTAATTTTTTAGGAAACACAGTCTTTTCTAGATGACGCAAAACATGGTGCTATTTATTTTAGTCTTGGTACAAATATCAAGAGTTCATTGATGTCTAAAGATAGGATTATGATTTTCCTGAATACTTTTGAAAAATTGAAACAAAGAGTTCTATGGAAATTTGAGAATGAAAATATCAAAAATATACCAGAAAATGTCAAAATATCCAAATGGTTCTCTCAAAATGATGTATTAGGTATATATTAATTTAATTGATTTATGCTTAAAGATTGTTTGTCGATATCAATATTTATGTGCAAGTTTGTACTTTGAAAAAATCCATTAATATAGCAGTCTGTTGCAGCTCATTTAAACATAAAGCTCTTCATCACACATAATGGGCTGTTAAGTACTCAGGAAGCAATCCATCATGGCATTCCAATGATCTCTATGCCATTTTTTTTGGATCAACATGGCTTATCAAAAAAATTAACAAAGCAAGGTATTGCAGTTGCATTATCATATGCCACATTGTCAGAACATTCAGTTCAGCAAGCTATTGAAGAAGTTCTCACAAATATTAGGTACATTAGTATATTTTGTTACCTTATTTATGTAATAATGTACATACATTTATTAAGTATGAATCATTTTCCAAAGTATTACTAATTACTATAATGTTTTTATATTTTAAAATACCAAAGTACGTTTCAAGTGCAATGTTTGCAATTTGTTTTATTTAGGTACAAATAGTTAAAATAAAAACAAATAATAATAATAATAAGGCTTAGCGAACCCGAAGGTTCGATGCCGACACCACCAATCGCTTGTTACACACCTCCCTCCACCGTTCGCCGTCCAAACCCAGTCCCTTCAGATCGGCTTTAATGCAATCTTCCCACCTTCGCTTCGGTCTACCCCTCGGACGCTTACCATTCGGCACAGCAAATATTAACCTTTTAGGAATTCTCTCGTTACTAAGCCCAACAACTTTACAAGCCCATTTGATTCGCCGCGATGAAATTACCTCAATTATATTACCCGGATACATCTCACGCAATTCGGCGTTGTGTAACCGTCTGAACTCTCCGGTTAACTCATCCTTCTTCGGTCCGAATATTCTACGCAATACTTTATTTTCAAAAACCTTAAGACGCTGCTCATCCCTTAATGTAAGCGGCCAAGTTTCGCATCCATAAAGAACTGTAGGCAAGATAATTGTTTTATAGATTCTAATTTTTAAGTTTCGGGACAAGAGGCGCGAACTAAGTAGTTTTGTCACAGAAAAATAACAAGCATTCCCCGCCTTCAGTCTAACCTTAATCTCTTCTTCAATTTCGTTTTTTCTAGTTATCGTAGAACCTAGATACCTAAATTTATCTACCTGTTCAAACATATTACCATCTATATCGATATCACCAGTAGTATCGCCATTTTTGCAGCTAACCATATATTTTGTTTTATCCACGTTTATTTCGAGTCCTAGTTCTTTACCGGCTTTCATTAACGTTGTCGTATTTAGTTTTATAGTTTCAACGTCTTCGCTTAACAGTACCAGATCATCAGCATAGCCCAGCACGGATGTTGTCCCGCCCAGATCCAACCCTTTCTCGGTTCGCATTACCTCCCTAATGGCATGTTCTAATGCCAAATTGAACAGGACAGGCGAAAGAGAATCCCCCTGTTTTAAGCCCGAACGAACCTCAAATTTTTCGGACAAATTATTACCGATTCTAACTTTATTGAGTGTCTCCGTCAAGCACATCCTGACTAGATTTACTAGTTTTTTTGGAATCCCCTGCTCGATTAGAATATTATACAGTTTCTGGCGGTCAATAGAATCGTAAGCCTTTTTAAAATCTATATACAGCTGGTGAACAATACCGTTATACTCCAATTTTTTCTCTAATATTTGCCGTAAAGAAAATATTTGATCAATAGTCGAACGATTCCGTCTAAATCCGCATTGGTAGTCTCCGATAATTTCCTCGGCGTATTCCGTGATTCGACTGGTTAAGATTAAAGTGAATATTTTATAACATACCGGAAGGAGTGAAATTCCTCGATAGTTATTACAATCCGTCCTCGGACCCTTTTTGTGAATCGGAATAAGAATAGATTCTTTCCATTCTTCAGGTAATTTCTCGTTCACCCAGATCTTTTTAACCAACCGATGTATTTTAGAAACTCCAGCTTCTCCGCATGCCTTAATTAGTTCAGTAGGAATATTATCGATTCCCGCTGCTTTATATGATTTTAATTTTCCGATAGCTACTTCAACTTCCTCTTTACTTGGTCCTTCTATTAACGGTTCAGCACTCTGGTACTCAGAAGGAGGACACAGATCATAATTTCCCGTATTTAAAATATTGTCAAAGTGGTCCTTAAACTTATTCAATATGTCAACCGGATCGGTCAGAATATTGTTATTATCATCCCTAATTCCAGACGTTACGGGCCCTACATATTTACGTGATCTGTTTATACCTTTGTACATGTCTCTTACGTTATTTTCGATTCTATTAGTTTCTATTTCAATTATTTTATTTTTAAGATACTCCCTTTTTTTATTTTTGAGCAATTTTGTCGTTTCGTTCTTTGAGATTCGGAAGTATTCCAGATTGTCTTCGCTAGGATTATTTAGAGCTTTTAATTTAGCGGCTTTTCTTTTTTCACACATGTTTAAGCAATCTTCATCAAACCACGGTTTGTTATTCTTATTTTCCTTTTTTCCTAGACACGAGTTACCGACCGCTTTAATATTATCTCTGATCTCTATCCATAACTTGTCAATATCCTCGTGGTCCTCGTCAGGAAGCTCTAAAGCTTCAAACCTATTCTTAACATCTAGCTCGAATTGGTTTCTAATTGATGGATTTTTTAATTTTTCCAAATTAAAATTCTCAAAATCGAAACGGTTTTCTTTTCTCTTTTTTATATTAAGTTTTTGTCGAAGTTTCGCGATTACTAATTCATGATCCGACCCACATTCTGCTCCGCGATAAGACCGTACATTAATTATACTGCTTTGCCAGCTGTGTTGTATCAAGACATGATCGATTTGATTTCGTGTTTGCGAATCCGGTGATGTCCAAGTATATTTATGAATATCCTTATGTTTAAACGTCGTACTTTTAATTATCAGGTTTTTCGAGATGGCAAAGTTTATCAGACGGATCCCATTATCATTACTATATTCGTGCAAACTTTCTTTACCAATCGTCGGAATATAAACTTCTTCCCTTCCTACCTTTGCGTTCGCGTCACCTACAATTATTTTCATGTAGTTTCGTGGTAGTTTATCATAAACCCATTCGAGTTTATCGTAAAATTCACTTTTGACTTCATCGTCACTGTCTTCGGTCGGACAATGTATGTTTATTAATGCGATTTTAAACCAACGTCCCTGAAATGTAGCTACCGAAATTCTATCACTAAAGAATTGTACGTCCCTCAAAGCGGATAGTAATCTACGCCTAATTAGAAACCCGGTACCTAAACAATGATTCCCGCTTCCTCCGTACCAAATAGTGTACTTCCCTTCCCTCATCGAGCCCTCCCCTGGCCAGCGAACCTCTTGCAGAGCCACGACATCCAAATTGTACCCATTTACCTCATTCGCGACCGATTTTAGCCCCCCTGCTGTGTTTAAACTCCTTACGTTCCACGTACCAATATTTAAATCCCTATATTTCAACTTGCGCCATGAATCCCCTAAAGCAGTCCCCACCCGGAGACCCGAACGGGGGACTAGTTTACCTCCGGATAATGAGCGTTTTACCTTAGGGAGATCCATGACTTTTTGTGGTGTTTGGTGAACTAAAGATATGTGAGTAGGGCGTTCAATCCTACGTCACACCCTCCAGCAAGTCTGGTGGGCCCCTACCTCCAGCAAGTCTGGAGGTCCCCTCCCTCCAGCAAGTCTGGAGGGCCCCTCTCATTGTTGGTCAGCGAGTCCATCGGACTTAGCCGGGAGGAACTTCCAAGGAATTTCCACCGACCATCCCCACATCCGCCACCCGTGGGACGCTCCCCATACGCGGTAATGAGCCCGCGCGAGGAAAATAAAAACAAAGTTCTTCAAAATCAATCTACAATGTATTAATTGCAAAAATAATAATTGAGTTAAGGCAGCAAATCTATTTCATTAATATTTTTCTTCTAAAAAAATATTCATTAAATAACCATTGTAATGTATAGCAGAAAGAAGAATATTATAATGTATTTATTTAAATAATTAATAATGTTTCATGAAAATATTCATATTTTTTAAAAATTTATTTTTAGTTACACTAAAGAAATAAAAAGGTTGTCAAAAATATTTAAAGATCAGCCTATGAAACCAAAGGAATTGGCTCTTTATTGGATAGAACATGTGCTGAAAAATGAGGATCATAAATATCTTCAACCTCCAGAAACCTTCTTAAGCACATTTGAACTAATATTTTTTGACTTAAAAACAATCCTGGGAACTATCTTGGGATTAGTCATTGCTTTCTTGGCTTGCTCATGCAGCAACAAGAAACAGATAAAGCTTAAACAAAACTAATTAAATTTTAAAATTTTAATTTGTTTATACATAAAAAGAAATCTATATTTTAAACAAAAGATTTTTTCAACAAGTTAAACCTCTTAAGACTTGTTCCAAAATATTTAAAAACAAAAAAAAAAAAGTTTGTCAAGTAAGGTCAGTATAGCTTCATCACCATTTTAATTGGCTAAAATACATCTATATTACAAGGTATACATTTTTTTGTATAAGAATAAAATTTCTGGGAGAAGCCGATTTGGAAATACAGTTACCCTTCAACATTCGCTGGTTTTATATCCACGAATTTCGTTTATCAGATAATACTAAAATGCGAAAGAGTGCCGTTTATGAAAATTCCATTGTGATTATTCTTAATTAAAAAAAAAAAAATACCAATGCATAATGAACTTGCATTGAGGGTTTTACGAAGGATTTTGGATTGTAAGGATTGGATACGTGAGGAATTCGATGGCTTTGTGGAGCCCCAAATCTCAACTCCGTAAGTCCAAATAGGTCTTATTGTATTCATGTATACGAATCTTTTTTAATTAACTGAAAGCTTAGATCGTTTGTCTAGGAAGTGCTGGAGTAGACAGAAACGTCAAGCGGATTTTTTTCGTTTAAATCTGGTATGAGGATTCTAAGTTAAACGTTTGTCCAAGTGGAGTCCCAGGTACCGATTTGTTCAACAGGGATAAGCGGGGTATCATTAAATTATTAGGACTTAAATTATATAGGGGTATTAATAAATTAGGATGGGTATTCTGGTGAATTTTTGGGTTTATGTATCATTTTGATAATATATTGTTTCTAAGGGTCAGGAAAATATGTGGGTCAGAGTACATCATTATATATATGTAAGTAAGGAATAGAATGGCTTTCCGAGGAAGTAATTTTAGGATCTGGGATGTAATTAGGTCGTGTCCAGGAGCTTCGCGAGAAGATAATCTGTGAATGATATTAGATATTTCTGTAAGATGAAAGGCTTTAGGTGCAAGAGCCATTGCATATCCAGTTCTGCTTCAATGCATTCAAGATGATTTGGATTAATAATATCGGGATGTGGATTAAATTTTGAAAAGGCGGTAAGCAAATATTAGGGATTTTCATTCGTCGGATTTGGACCAGGTTTGGGCTTCGGTAAGAAGTGGATGATTACAGTCTTTAAATTTCAGGTGCCTTTTAGTGATCGTCCATAAGGATTTGTCGGTAGGTGTAAACATTTAGTCAATTTGGAATTTTATATTTTTTGATTTCTGATTATAGTTTGTTAATCAGTTGGAGATATAGCTCATATATCTGTCGGATGTAGTGAAAGCAGAACTGGACTATGGTCTGAAGAAAGGTCATCCAGGGAGTTGATTATGGTTTGGGAGGAGGAAAGCTGGGAGTTGCTAAATATATCCATGATATCGGGACGTTTTTTGAGGGATGTTGGCCAATAAGTAGGGTTCATGGGCGAGAGGATTGAATAACTGTTGGAAGATCAGACGCGTGAAAGGATGTTATCGCGGGAGTTGGACTTTCGACAACCCCATCTTTGGTGTTTAGCATTGTAATCTCCTCCTGCAATAAAGCGTGATCCGAGGGATTTTAATAAGGAATCAAGGAGGTTATAGGAGAGGGAATTGCCAGGAGCACAGTATACAGCTGAGAATATGATATGGAAAGGGCGAGTTGAAAAGATTACAGATTTTGATTGAATAGTATCATTTGGAGTGGAAGGAATAAGGGAATGGGGTAAAGATTTATGTATAAGAATGCAAGAACCGGTGTGGGCAGTGTTGTCTGGACGGTCAGATCTATAAGTGATGTAGTCTCGTTTGTGAAAATGTGTCCGTTTTGTGAAATGACTTTCAGTCATTAGAGCAATATCAATGTGTTTATCATAAAGAAATATGCCAAGTTCGTCTTGATGGCTGTGTAGTCCGTTAGCGTTCCATACAAGGATAGTTAGAGGCTTTGTGCTCATCGAGGGAAATTAGACTGAATTTCGGTCAGGATTGTGGTAAGTAGAGTGATAAGAAGTTTATAATGTTTTGGAGGTTCAATAGGAAGGATGATAGTATGGAAGTTATGTCAGAGGGATGTTGGTTGTGAAGTGGATTTAGGATATGTTCTTGTGGCGGCTAAGGAGTGTTAACTGAGGGTGGGATCCGTCGTTGTGTACGAGGTGGGTCTGGATTCGACGGTACTTGTGATTGTTTTTCTTCTGGACATTAGGATGGGATGTGTGAGGATGCTGTGGCGGTAATTTAAGTCATAACGGCAGATGATGAGGGGGAATTTGCTGAGGTGGAGGATGAGGTAAAGGATTGGGAGTATGAGGTTTAAATTGGGAGGTGTGAGGCGCCTGGCTTCGAGGCTGCTGCTTCTTGATGGTGGTTTGGGTGTAAGATTTGGTGGAATTCTGATGAGGATGGTCGATGTCAGATGAAGTCAACGGTTCTTGTTGGGTGACACTGGTAATTTTTTTCGGCAATTCAGGGAAATTTGAAATATTTTCAATTTCTGGTGGCAGGGTGTAACTTTCATTAATTGTATGGCAAATTTACTGTTCTGAATACAGATATTTGCATCAAGAAACATGCCTTAAAAAATGCATACTCTAGTATTTACTAGTGTCGCCCAAATACGAGACCGAGATGAGTCTTGGTCTTGGTCTTGCACAAGAGTCTCGCAACGGTCTTGCAGTTACTTATTAGCTTATTACTTTAGAGATATTAGTGTAATTTTTAAATTAGAATAATGAATGCTATTTCACCTGGTATCCTATACCTGTTTCGTTGTCCGGACTCCCTTAGAAATAGTTCGTATTTTCATCACAGAAAAACCAAATAATGTTAACAATGTCAAAGGAAAAACACCGCCATAATTAGACTGTTCAAAGGCTGTTTAATAATTAACAAAAATATTTACTCTTAAGATTATATAAATGGGACAATATTCTTTGTTACATCTATTTTAAATTGTATTAATATAAGCTTAGTAATTGAGAAAATTTATAAATACTTTGATATGAATATAACAATATTCTTTACTGCACCTGTAAATACAACCATAATTGTATTTACAGAAGAAAATACAATAGCAAATATATGTATTTAGATTAGTAAATTTGAGAGAAAATAAATATTTTATAAATAATGAAGAATATTTATCCACCATTTATGTAAATATAACAATATTCTTTATCACATATTTAAATACAATTACTGAGGAATAATAGTTTAGTGCTGTAGCCCTCTAATATAGAAAAAATAATTTTTATTTTTCTTATATCCAAATTTATTTCTGTGTGTAATCTGTACTAAGTATATACCAAATTACAATATGTATTGTTTTTAAGCTATAACGTAAGCGAAGCTGCAAAATGTAAGCATGTGTCAAGAAATAAATATATGGATATTTTATCCCTGAAAGCATAATTGTTCCTGTTTTTCCTTTCTTAGCCCTTCATTTTCCTCCAGAGTAATTACCATTATCAATTTTTTTTTCAATAATATTCCTCAATTGTAATTCCTAAATTCGCTACGAATTAATCTTACAGTATTGTTATTCACACCTGTAAATACAACAGCATTCTCATTTATAGGAATGAATACTATAGCAAATATAGATTGATATTAAAAATAAAATTGTGCAGTAACATTAATATTTATATTTTCTATTAATATAATATAGGTCACTAATCAAATTTATGTTTATATCAATTCAATGGCAATTAATTGACACATTTATTATAACTGTAAAAGATTACAGAGTTTTGTAATATTGTTTAAAGCAGCGAATGTTTGTATTATTTGATGTGTCTTATCAATTTAATCCCCATCTTATTAATTTTTAAGCCCAAGGAGGATTGTTGTTGTTAATTCTAAGTAAACTGATTTCGTTCCATGTGCTTGTAAATATCCAAGTCTTGAGCTATGTTCGGGGTTTGTAGGCACCCGACTATTTCCGTTATGGTGCATAGAATTCCTCAATTTTTGTAATCGGGTTTTTGAGACGCGTTTTGCACTTTTTGTGGAGAGTGAATTAGATTGAGCCGTCAGATTTCCGATGTGTAACGCTCGGGTAAAGTCGTCTCGAGTCGACTAATTGAAGTGTTTTTGTATGTGAATTAAAATATACCAGAAACTAAAAATCGGACCTGCATACTGTAAGCAAGAGAATTTTTCAGCATTTCATCCTCTCTATAATGGACTGTTATTGAAAATTATATCTTACCGCGAAGCCATGTTAGAAAGACGGAAGGAAAAAATTGTGTCTAAAATTACCAAAAGCAGTCTTAAACAATGACGCACAAGGGATATGATTTAATCTATAAATATAGTACTGGAACTAGTTGTCTACTTTTGACAACTCTTCCGATCTCTTCTGTGAGAGTTTGAAAAAAATTTAAAAATTTACTAGGCCACTTTTTAGGCCAATACCCACCTATAAACGTACTGAACAACGTGTTGAGGATGGAATGAGGGTAGTGAAAAGGAGATTTGTATTATGTTTCACATCGACAAATTGTATGTGGCGGCGTTTTACGAATTCCAGAACTGTCAGCAGTTCGAAGAACTGGTATAGTTTTTCTGGCTTCATCTTTTTCAAGGGTGGGGAGCGCCCAATTCGAATATAAACTGAAATTAAAAAAAAAAAACCCGTGGTAAAATACCCGCGAACCTATTTCTAGCCCTTAGCTTGACCATTTAATTGACAGGCTCATATATGCCCAGAGAGATCTGAAAGTACATCTGAATATTTAACCTATAAATGATTATAGATTGTAGACTATTAGTTATTAAACTGTTATTGTACATTGTGCAGTTTATTAAAATGAAATTACTAGATTTGCATTGCCCGCCACGGATAGGTCTAAAGTTCTCACACTAATTGTAAGTTGATAATGTTGTAATTTCACAAAGAAAAATTCATCAAATTATTCACTACTTCAATTTTCTAAAAGTTTACTTGATGATTGTTTTGGAATAAACGGCCAATAGATACCTAATTATTTAGAGAGAGAGAATCACTTTATTATCATAAAAGGATGCTGCCCAATTACATTGGGTTGCTTTAAACACAGCAAACTTATTAATAGCTACAGACAATTTTCCAAAACTAATATACAATTATATAGTATTAACAATATGTATGAGCATAGTATACTATTTTTGTTTTTTATCTATATATATTTTTTTTATTATAATTTTTTTCCTATATTTTTATTTATTTTATTTTTACTATTTCTTTCATTCATTTATTAGCATTATACATCCCTTTCTGTTCCTTCTCTCACCTTATACATTTTTCTCATTCCCTAGCGTCTAGAGTGAACTACAATAACATTGCACTGCTACTCAATTGTGTTGAGTTGCTAAATGACACAGCATACTCATCAATCAAAATATAATACTGCATAAAAATATAAGGGAGAGTTAGGTCGGACCACTGGAATACATACGAAAAATGCGAAGAACGGATTATTGAATCAAATAAGTGAAGGCCTAGATGTGATGATGGAGGATTCCAAATGAGTCTAAAATAATTATTTCTGTCATATTCTGCATCTGTCATATTGCTTCCAACAGTTCTCAACAAACTATAGTAAATGCATTTACGGTTATAAATTCATGAAATATTACAAGTACAACGAAATAGTATTTTAAACAATGGTATTGGCTTGATTCGGTGGATTCTAAAAACATTTTTTTCAAAATTGGAAAAAAATTTAAAAGTTTACATTTAATAAGAAAATTCCATTTAGTTTCCTTGGAAACATGTTATTTCCGTTAAATAATATTAGTTTTTAAAAATTATTGTTTATAATTTTTTTGGCCCCTCTCCGTTACCTTATACTGTTGATACTGCTGGAATATCACAAAAGAAAAAAACGTTAAATTATTAACTAATTTAATTTTCTAAA